AGATCAAGCTTCGTAATAGTATTAGTAATAAACATTATAGGATTCTTACTCTATTTGTTTCACAAACCTGCCCCTGAAATAGATGCCCGTGTTTATAAATGCGAAAAAATGGTTCCATAATCAAAGAAATATCCGCTAAAAGAACAGCTTAATGATGACACAAAGTATCTCCCACTGTTTGATAGTGATTCATAAACACGTGTTTATTATATGGTCCGAATCGTACAATGAACTCTTTAGTTATTATATACAATTCCCACAATACCGACAATTCTTTCCTGTACAAAGGTTTTCTTCCAAGGACACCAGTATTGTTCGAGAATTCAAACTGATGTGCTAGGAGTGAGTGAGTTAGGTTTAACGCCGCTTTTAACAGTATTCCAGTTAAATCACGGCGTGTCAGCTTAATGTGGGAGGAAAGCCCGAAGTGATGCAGGTTTAAGACGTTTACCACTTCGGTGAAACCCACGAGCACGGGTATGGTGCTGACAAACCTAGAAACATAATCGGGGCGAACCGGGATTCGAACCCACAATCATAGGTTTCTGGCGTGTCCAAGGGACGCAACTCTGCACAGCGAATCGCGGCGCCTTAGACGACTGGGCCACCCGTGCCCCCAGATACATCATGTATTGTTCATGTGAGCGCCTTGTCACGCCGTAGTGTGCAATAACCAAGTCACTGAGTCAGAAACAAACTTCAAGATCTGATGTCACTTAATCCTAAAAGATGGATATTCATATTAAGATATTGACTTGACGGTTGACACACTCGTTGCTTGCTGACATTTGGCTTCGGCATAGACAGTTCCACCCAATAATTAGCAGATATTCCGTTATTTATTATTCATATATAATGTAACTATGCGGTTTTCAAGATGAATAGATGATGAAGTGATTTCCATACATGATAGAGAAATTTAATATGATGACGATGAAACTTGGTAAGCACATCCATTAATCATGGGTTCCTGGCGCGCCCAAGGGACGCAACTCTGCACAGCGAATCGCGGCGCCTTAGATGACTGGCTAACTGTAAAGGAGCTCCTGGTAGTTAAAATAATGCATATATAGTATCAGCACTGAACTAAAAAAACAACATTTAGATTCGATGCCCTTTGTTTCGTAATGACACTCTCTGCAATATTCCAGCTACATTATGGGGCCTGTAAGAAAACGAGCCTGGACCAGATACATCATGCGAGTGAGTGAGTGAGTGAGTGAGTGAGTGAGTTGGGTTTATCGCCGCTTTTAACAGTATTCCAGTTATATCATGGCAGGGAATCAAGGGTAATACGTTGTCTTGATGTGATAAAACGTGAGATATGATGTGTGTAAGATTTAAGAGGCCCGCCCTTGTCCCGTTTATATGAGTCTAACATGCTTCTGAAAATTTCCACACAGTGCCATCACATCACAGAATATTCCACATGTTTCTATAACGCTCTCACCCAGTCCAAGGTATTCCGGAATTTGACACATCACACACGCATCTTCATATGGTTACTTCCTCAAAACGGCTTACGTAAAGTAATGGAGAAATGGAGGTTTGGAGATGTTAATGTTAATGTATCTACCTATTATAATTATCCTGGTTTGTTATTTTCAAATCGGCTGTGTTGGACGACTGGTATTAACTCTCTTGTTCAGAAGACAAATAAGGCTCTGTTTGTTGTTAAGAAATTACAGCATTGTTTGAAGAACATACCCGTACATATACTTTTTTAAATATTTGACAGTCAAATTAAGCCTGTATTATTATACACTTCAGAAATATGGGGCTATTCAAAAATTGCAGCAATTGAAAAATTTCAGATTAAATTCTGTAACCAACAGGACTGGTATTGTAAAGTTTGTGAAATACGTAAATTATCAATGTATAAGGAATATAAGTCATTGCTAACAGTTGAAAAGTATCTCTGTGAAATCACAAGCCGTCATCAAAGACGTATGTTTTGTTTGTTAAGAGTTGGCGTGTTGCCATTGAGGGTAAATTTAGGTAGAAGATGCGGTATAGAGTACTGTAATAGGCAGTGCAGATTTTGAAATTTACAAGATGAGTTGCATTTAATGCTTGTCTGCCCATGTTACAGATACTTAAGAAATAAGTATTTACCTATTTATTACTCTTCCAATCCTACTTTATATAAATATAATACACTATTATCTTGTAACCGCACAAGTATTGTAACTAATTGTGTTAAGTATATACTGGAAGCACTTGCAATCCGAAATACTGTCACTTAATACCCTCTGTCATCTGCCTCATACTGTATTTTTCAATGAGTATTTGTACGTGGGCCTATGGCCTTTATACTGAAATAAAGAATTGAATTACGTTAAGTAGGACTACATTCCTGACTGTCAGTCACTGTCCAAACACAATGCAATGAGCTTCTACCGAATCTCAACAGAAACAATGCAATACAGTTACAATCATTATCCTACAACAACATCCACTGCCATATAACATTTTTGTTTGTTTCTTGTTGAACGCCGCCCTCAGCAATATTCCAACTATATGATGGCAGTCTGTAAATAATTGATTCAGGAACAGTCAATCCAGTGATCATCGATCCACGCAATTGGGATACAATGCCATGCATCAATCAGTGAGTGAATGAGTGAGTTGGGTTTAACGCCGCTTTTAACAGTATTCCAGTTAAATCACGGCGTGTCAGCTTAATGTGGGAGGAAAGCCCGAAGTGATGCAGGTCTCAGACGTTTACCACTTCGGTGAAACCCACGAGCACGGGTATGGTGCTGACAAACCTAGAAACATAATCGGGGCGAACCGGGATTCGAACCCACAATCATAGGTTTCTGGCGTGCTTAAGGGACGCAACTCTGCACAGCGAATCGCGGCGCCTTAGACGACTGGGCCACCCATGCCCCCCATGCATCAATCAAGTCAGCGAGCCTGACCATCCGATCCCGTTAATCGCCTCTTACGACAAGCATAGTTCAATGGCACCATATAACAGTAACGACCATGATGCAATCACTTAAGTACGAAAAAATGGAGACCTGTGTTTTCAAATAAATGCGACAAAACCAAAAATGCGCCTTGTAGAACTATTAGATTCTTGAGGTTTTGAAAAAGTTGAAAATTGACAAATTCTTGGCCAGGGTCACTCTTCCTCGTCTGTTGTGTTTTATATATATTCTTAGAAACTGGTTTCAGGGTAACTGTTATGTCAGTGTTGTCTACAGAACATAAACACAGACAGTTCACAGCCTTATCTTGCTGTCCAAAATATTACACTTATATACTCATTATTTTTAGCACATTTACAAGAAAAACATCGAAATGCATTTACTTTAAACTAATCACAAAGGTACATAACCATGTTTAATATTTGGATGTATTCTATATACACAGTGATTAAACACTGTAATTGTACATTTACTTATTTCAAATTTTTGTATGTATTATAACCTTAAAGACTGTACCAAAGGCATTAAGATGAATAGTTAGTATTGTTTTGTCTGACTCTCCATTTCCATCAAGAGGAAAACTTGTTTCAACCACATACTTACAGGTTGAAGTTTCATTCACGTATTCGACATTCAAAGTTAAACCATCGACAATACATCTAGTACGGCACAGCTTTTATCCCAATGGTCCTGAAAACGACGGAATACTGAATGCTACATCGCTCTGTGCTGCATGCTGGAAATACAAACAACGAGTAAACTGTAAATACCAGGAACAGGCTCACATGCTCACTTGAACTCAGTGGTATCATCTTGAAGTGACATGCATTGCATCAGAATAAACAGTCGAACTTTGAAATTTTGTGTTTACTGAGAGTTGTACGTGCGAATGCGTCCCTAGCGGAAGTGGACACCCAATCCTCTGTGTGCAACTCGTAGATAACAGGAACTTTTGACGTGTGTGAGTATATTATCACATGATGAACGACAAACAGGAAGATTTCATGGCGAAAAATTCTGTGCTAAGTGGTTTGACAAGAGTTGTTCAGGCAGGAACACCAGAAAGTGGCTTCTTGTGCTTAAAATATGGGTTTGTCGGCTTTTTTCACATTGTGTAATGTTGAGAATCTAGCATTTTTTAATCGGATGTCCTAACACATAAATGACAATGCTAAGCAAACACCTCCATCTCTAATCCCCAGTATGGGAAAGGTTATCAGTTAAGGAGAAATGGCAATTTTTGGTTGACATATATTTGAATACAACGTGCTCATCATGATGTCAATGAGTGAGTGAGTTAATTCCTGAAAACTTTGGCCAACACTGCATGGGTACTTAGCTTTGAATCTCGCAACAGGGTTACACGATATTATAGCAGATCTATTACACAACATAGACTGTTTGACTTGTGGCTGGGTCGGTGGGGTAGCAAAGTGGTTAACGCACTCACTCGTCACGCCGAAGGCCCGAGTTCGATTGCTACAATGTATGACGGCTATTTGTGATGTTCCCCACTGTGATATTGCTGGCATATTGCTAAAAACGGCTTAAAACCCAACCAACTCACTCACGTGTGGCTTATTCGCAAAAGGAAATGATGAATCCGCAAATGCAACAATAAACATATATTGGCTTCTCTCCCTGATATAAGGGGCGGTCGGGTAGCCTAGTGGTTTAAGCATTAGCTCGTCATGCCGAAGACCCGGGTTCGATTCCTGACATGGGTACAATGTGTGAAGCCCATTTTCTGGTGTCCCCCGCCGTGATATTGCTGGAATATTGCTAAAAGCGGCGTGAGGAGAGAACGCTTTAACCACTAGGATACCCGACCACCCCTCAGATTCTTAGAAATACAGTGGCCATGTATGTGGAAATGAACAACTGTACTTTGAACAAAGGCTCTTTGAGAAAGTGGTTTCCAATCTTACAAGAAACAAGACGAGGTGGTGTTTTATCGCCATGGTTCTTTTAAAACTACATTCATGATGATGATCTGTCATGAATATAGTTGTGTTCAGTACACTGCCAATACAGCAAAATAATTGTCTTTAACCAGACTATGTTATGTTCCCAAAGAGGAAGATACAGAGGCACATGTCAACCAAAGAGGAAGATACAGGAAGCACAAGTCAACCAAAAAGGAAGATACAGGAAGCACAAGTCAACCAAAGAGGAAGATACAGGAAGCACATGTCAACCAAAGAGGAAGATACAGGAAGCACAAGTCAACCAAAAAGGAAGATACAGGAAGCACATGTCAACCAAAGAGGAAGAAACAGGAAGCACATGTCAACCAAAGAGGAAGATACAGGAAGCACATGTCAACGAAAGAGGAAGATACAGGAAGCAGATGTCAACGAAAGAGGAAGATACAGGAAGCACATGTCAACCAAAGAGGAAGATACAGGAAGCACATGTCAACGAAAGAGGAAGATACAGGAAGCACAAGTCAACCAAAAAGGAAGATACAGGAAGCACAAGTCAACCAAAGAGGAAGATACAGGAAGCACATGTCAACGAAAGAGGAAGATACAGGAAGCACAAGTCAACCAAAAAGGAAGATACAGGAAGCATATGTCAACCAAAGAGGAAGAAACAGGAAGCACATGTCAACCAAAGAGGAAGATACAGGAAGCACATGTCAACGAAAGAGGAAGATACAGGAAGCAGATATCAACGAAAGAGGAAGATACAGGAAGCACATGTCAACCAAAGAGGAAGATACAGGAAGCACATGTCAACGAAAGAGGAAGATACAGGAAGCAGATGTCACCAAAGAGGAAGATACAGGAAGCACATGTCAACCAAAGAGGAAGATACAGGAAGCACAAGTCAACCAAAGAGGAAGATACAGGAAGCACATGTCAACCAAAGAGGAAGATACAGGAAGTACAAGTGAACGAAAGGGGAAGATACAGGAAGCACATGTCAACCAAAGAGGAAGATACAGGAAGCACAAGTAAACCAAAGAGGAAGATGCAGGAAGTACATGTCAACCAAAAAGGAAGACACAGGAAGCACATGTCAACCAAAGAGGAAGATACAGGAAGCACATGTCAACGAAAGAGGAAGATACAGGAAGCAGATGTCACCAAAGAGGAAGATACAGGAAACTATCATGCCTCACTGAATTTGACGAGGATACAATAGTAATATATGTGACTCGCCAGGGGAAAGGGGACCTTATGGGCGAAAAATCACATTTTGACATTTCATTATATTTTAAAACCTCAGCATCTTCGGAACACACAAGTTTCAAATCATATTTATTACAGAGATACATGGCATAACGATATTCACTTAAGTAGGTCAAACGTCTTTATGACGTCATAGCACAATTGTTTCCTGGCACCAATAAGGTAGCTTTTCTACTGGTGGGTCACAATAAGGATATATAATAACAATCGCAGGTTGTGTTTTACCTTTTTAAATTATGCCACTACCTGTGATAGAGTAACAATAATGTCATCTGAGAAAAGAAACATCAATTCCATGTTACCCAGATACCGGACTGTATATTCCACTGAAGGGGTGACATGTAAATATGAATTGTCAACGCAACAGAAAAAACAGCCTATATTATCCGCCGAAATAGATTACATTTAGCGTAAAGGGCAAAACAGCTGTGAAAATTATGAGTGGACAACTGAAACAATGGGTTCATACTGATACAGTTATGCAACTCCATTCAACTCCGCACGGCGACTTCACATTCACGACAGGGTGACTTCACATCCACGACATGGCGACATCACATCCACAACTTGGCGACATCACATCCACGACAGGTCGACATCACATCCACAGACACTGCGCCACCCCCACCCCCACCCCTCTCCACCCCACCCCCGTCCAAGAGCTGACAGGACAATTTTAAGCATTCAATGGTGAGCTATGAAGATATGAAGATCGGATCTCACCATCAAGATAACGTAACAAACCAATTTGTCCCTTGTCACGTAATCCCCAAATAAAGTTAAAGTCCGCTTTTCCGTTATCGCCTTTCTACCTTCGTTTGCATTTTTTTAAAACACTTTTTGAACAGTATTCCAGTTATATCACGGCGTGTGAGCTTGATGTGGGAGAAACGTGATGCAGGTCTTAGACGTAGAAACATAAGAAGGGCGAACCGGGGTTGGAACTCACAATCAGGTTTCCTACACGTCAAAGGGACAGAACTCTGCACAACGAACTGCGGCGCCTTAGATGACTGGGCCACCCGTGCCCCCGTTGATAATACGAGAAGATGTGGAACCACTGTATTCCTCGTATAGCTTCAGGTGTGTGATCATCCTCGCTCATCATACTTGTCACGGTATCTATACATTGACGTTTACACATCCGTGTTCCAGTCCTTATACGGGTAGCCTAGTGGTTAAAGCGTTCGCTCGTCACGCCGAAGACTCGGGTTCGATTCCCGACATGGGTACAATTTGTGAAGCCCATTTCTGGTGTCCCCCGCAGTGATATTGCTGGAATATTGCTAAAAGCGGCGTAAAACCATACTCAGTCAGTCAGTCAGTCCAGTCCTTATATGATGGCTTTAAATCCATGCTCATTGTAATTAACATTGCTTTGTTGTTATACTATTTTGTTTATTTGTTTGTTGTTTAACCCAAACTGAGCAATATTCCATCCATATGACGGCAGTCTGTAAATAATCGAGTCCAGACAATCCAGTGATTGAAATCATGTGCATCGATCCACGCATTTTGGATACGATGACAAGCATCAACCAAGTCAGCGAGCCTGACCACTCGATCCCGTTTGTCGCCTCTTACGACAAGCATAGTCGTCTTTTACGGCGAGCATACGTTGTTATACTAAGCTGTGTGTGATGTTATAAGTGACAGGTGTATTGATTGTAAGGCTACAGATAACTCAGTGCTCGATTCTTAGTAATGTGACTGATAAAACAACACACACACCCTCCCCCCGCCCCCCTTTAAAAACAGAAGAGGGTGACATAACTAATAATTGTCTATCAGAAGGATTTCAGTCAGCGACTAGTTTAAATTATACGCCTTCAGCAACCCGTGCTTTCCGTACAAGGCGACTATGCTTGTCGTATGAGGCGACTAACGGGATCGGGTGGTCAGGCTCATGATGTCAATCACTGCATTGCCTGGTCCAGACGCGATTATTTAGAGACATCCGTCATAAAGCTGGAATATTGCTGAATGCGGCTTTAAACAAATAAACAAACAAAATCGTGTGACATCAATAAACAGTGAAACCTTGATACTCAGGACGGTTTCCATTGAAAATTTCACTATTACCAAATTTCCGGGCGAAGCGCATCACGGACCTCATGGCATCTAAACAGCACGGACTAGCTTTGTTCTGACATTGCAGTTGTAACAGGATGTGAAAATGTACATTGTGCCTTAAGTTCGTGATTGGATGTCCTTCTGATAGATTAGTGAATGAGTAGGAATTACGCCGCTTTTATCAACATTCCAACAATATGACAGCGGGAAACACCAGAAATGGGTTTCACACATTGTGACCATGCGGAGAATCGAACCCTGTCTTCGACGAGTCGAGCGAACGCTTTAACCACTGGGCTACACGGCCGCCCCTCTGATAGATTAGCATGACTTCGGTGAATGGTTGTCATTCTGATGAAGATTCGGGTTGTTTCTAATCTGACTGTCTAACTGACTAGGAGCTATTATCTATAGGACGGTTCTGCTGCCCTGGTAGCTAGGCTGTATGTAATCAGGATATCAGTGACTATATCACTAATATATGGTTACAAAATGCTGGATTAAATATTCAAATATTTGAGAAGCAAAGACGTTGCAAATCAGTTTAGACAGTGTTTTTCCTGATACACTTTCTCAGTAGTGTCAGCAAGACTAAAACGAAGTCAGTGGCACGTATGGGCATCACCGAGTACAAACATCCTTGATTGTATATCCAGGAATCGCTACACACCCGTTCAGTCGTCCTGTTGGTAAGGTGAGACCGCCTCCGCGATGTAGTGGACAGAGGTCTACCCGGAGTGCGCTCCACCAAAAGACGTTTAAAGATGGTACTTGTTGTTACCCTGGCTGGCGCTGGGTATTTAGGGGCTAAAACAAGGACTGGTTCGGAGTCACGGTGTCTTAATGGGGTATTCATGTTAAACTGCGGCATGGTATTTAAGTGAACGAGAACTATAAAATCCGGACTAGTACAAGCAGTCTCACACACATGTTTGAACGCGGCGTTAAACCCCATCACCTTGGGTAAGATGAAATGGGTTTAACATCGTGTTCAAGATAATTGCACTTATATAGCGACGCGCGCATGCTAAAATATTCACACGGCAAATCGCAATTTGTTTACGTTTAGGATTAACATCAATCTAAAGTTAGGTTCACGGAGTGCACATTGTGTATGTCCTGAAACCTTGACGAAGCAGGTGAATGGATTCTGCTTGGCTTTATGCAGTATAGGTTCTACTTTATGCTTCATAGGAAACTGATATTATTTTGTTTGTTTGTTTGTTGTTTAACGCCGCACTCAGCAATATTCCAGCTATATGACGGCGGTCTGTAAGTAATCAAGTCAGTGATTGACAACATGAGCATCGATCCACGCAATTGGGATCGATGACCACCCGATCTCGTTAGTCGCCTCTTACGACAAGCATAGTCGCCTTTTACCGCAAGCATGGGTTGCTGAAGGAAACTGATATTAACTCATATTAACTGATATCACGTTTCTGTCTGCAGTGTTTATTGCTTGGCTTTCCTGTTAATGTAATCGTTTGATATATATACATATATTCGTCAGTTTGACTTAAGCTTGAACAACTATTGTAGTCAAGTCGTAGTACACCTAAATGGCCACATTATGATTTGTCGCAGGAGTCATTCCATTTCAGGAGTCATTCCTTATGTACTGAGGGGGCACGGGTGGCCCAGTCGCCTAAGTCGCCGCGATTCGCTGTGCAGAGTTGCGTCCCTTGGGCACGCCAGAAACCTATGATTGTGGGTTCGAATCCCGGTTCGCCCCGCTATGTTTCTAGGTTTATCAGCACCATACCCTTGTTCGTGGGTTTCACCGAAGTGGTAAACGTCTGAGACCTGCATCACTTCGGGCTTTCCTCCCACATTAAGCTGACACGCCATGATATAACTGGTACACTGTTAAAAGTGGCGTTTACACCAAACTTTATAGATGTGCTTCACATTAAGTGTTGTTATTCAGCCCGCCATGTCATCGCATTGGATTTAAGAGCACTTCAAGGATATTAACCAGAGGTAGAGTATTGGTGGATGTTTTACGATTGGCGTGATATTATGGATGTTCCCAGGAAGACTAAAGATTCAGATTGTCAAAATGATCTCCACAAACATCTGGTATCATCCCTATTTGATAGTGATTCACAAACACCTGGTATCATCCCTATTTGATAGTGATTCATAAACACCTGGTATCATCCCTATTTGAAAGTGATTCATAAACACATGGTATCATCACTATTTGATAGTGATTCATAAACACCTGGTGTCATCCCTATTTGATAGTGATTCCCAAACACCTGGTGCCATCACTATTTGATAGTGATTCATAAACACCTGGTGTCATCACTATTTGATAGTGATTCACAAACACCTGGTATCATCACTATTTGATAGTGTTTCACAAACACCTGGTATCATCACTATTTGATAGTGATTCACAAACACCTGGTATCATCCCTATTTGATAGTGATTCACAAACACCTGGTATCATCACTATTTGATAGTGATTCACAAACACCTGGTATCATCACTATTAAATAGTGATTCATAAAAACCTCGTATCATCACTATTTGAAAGTGATTCACAAACACCTGGTATCATCACTATTTGATAGTGATTCACAAACACCTGGTATCATCACTATTTGATAGTGTTCCACAAACACCTGGTATCATCACTATTTGATAGTGATTCACAAACACCTGGTATCATCACTATTTGATAGTGATTCACAAACACCTGGTATCATCACTTTTTGATAGTGATTCACAAACACCTGGTGCCATCACTATTTGAAAGTCATTCATAAACACCTGGTGTCATCACTATTTGATAGTGATTCATAAACACCTGGTGTCATCACTATTTGATAGTGATTCACAGACACCTGGTATCATCACTATTTGATAGTGATTCATAAACACCTGGTATCATCACAATTTGATAGTGATTCACAAACACCTGGTATCATCACTTTTTGATAGTGATTCATAAACACCTGGCATCATCACTTTTTGATAGTGATTCACAAACACCTGGTATCATCACTATTTGATAGTGATTCACAAACACCTGGTATCATCACTATTTGAGAGTGATTCACAAACACCTGGTATCATCACTATTTGATAATGATTCACAAACACCTGGTATCATCACTATTTGATAGTGATTCACAAACACCTGGTATCATCACTATTTGAAAGTGATTCACAAACACCTGGAATCATCACTATTTGATAGTGATTCATAAACACCTGGTATCATCACTATTTGATAGTGATTCATAAACACCTGGTATCATCACTATTTGAGAGTGATTCATAAACACCTGGTGCCATCACTATTTAATAGTGATTCATAAACATCTGGTATCATCCCTATTTCATAGTGATTCATAAACACCTGGAATCATCCCTATTTGAAAATCATTCACAAACACCTGGTATCATCACTATTTGATAGTGATTCAAAACACCTGGTATCATCACTATTTGATAGTGATTCATAAACACCTGGTATCATCACTATTTGATAGTGATTCATAAACACCTGGTGTCATCACTATTTGAGAGTGATTCATAAACACCTGGTGCCATCACTATTTAATAGTGATTCGTAAACATCTGGTATCATCCCTATTTCATAGTGATTCATAAACACCTGGTATCATCCCTATTTGAAAATCATTCACAAACACCTGGTATCATCACTTTTTGTTAGTGATTCACAAACAACTGGTATCATCACTTTTTGATAGTGATTCATAAACACCTGGCATCATCACTTTTTGATAGTGATTCACAAACAAATACCCATGATCCGATGAATTTGTAGAGGGTTTTGTCGCCTCTATGTAATCGCTGTATGAGATCAGACGCTGTGGCGTCACAGAAATGGTTAATGTGAGACGATGTATCCGGACTGATAGTGATACTCAACAAGCCTTGTAGGTTTTTTGAAAATGTGGGGTGCGTTTGAAGATTTTACAATTACCTTTCAGTAATCATGTAATTGTGTAAAAAATATAACACCAAACATGACTTTGTTACAGTTTTGTTAAATGTTTATTTTATATTGTATATTATATATTCTTTAGCCCCACATAGAAGATTTGAACAAGCGATATTTACGTAGGTCGTTAAATACCTGATCACCTATATATTTCTGAATCTAGAAATGTTGAGAATGCTTCAAATAAATATCTCACACCCTCCCCAATCCCCACGCCACTCTGGTTCCACGAATGCTCAGTAAGTCAGCATCTTTCTCCCAGCTCCACCTAAAGCGCCGAGAACTCTCCCCGCTGCATTGCCAATCCAGTTCCACACTGAACGGAAGCCATCCCTCATCTTCAGACGAAGTCCTCGGCTGACACACTTGGATGTTATGCCATCATTATTGATGCACACAACATACTTATTGGCTCTGTCGCCCGAGTAAAACATCACTGCAAGTTGTACACCGTGCACCTCGAGACTCGCGTGCCTCCACACCCAGGTCGGCTCTTCAGCGATAACGGAGAGGCAGCACTGCAAGACCCGCCGATCACGAGCCAACAGCCTCCCCCGGTGCCTCTGCATGAAGTAGCTGATGTCAGAACAATCAATGTATGGGCTGCAGTTGATATTCTGAAATGATAATGTGTTGAGTCAATTATATTAGTTGACTTGATGACGAAAGATAACGAATAAGAATGTAAATGTTTTGTGTGGGAGTGTGGTGGAGAGTTGGTGGTAGAGTGGCTGGCTTTTGTGTGCGATTGGTAGAGAAGAAATTGTGGGCTGCCTCTAAACAAACAAAACAAAAGAAATCAATGAGCCTTGAAAAGGGTTAATTTCAGTACATTATTTCAAACGAAGTACCTGGGAAAGCCTCTTACACAACAATTCTATCCATTTACTAAAGAAAGCTAGCAATATCTGCTTGGACGTAGTATGGTGTTTCGCTGGATATTATTGCTTCTTAAGTTGTAAGCATTTTACAAACGTTTGCAAACATTATTTCCAGGACTGCTGTATCTCGTTTTCACAATGTTCTAAGGCGAGATCGTAAATAATTGTTGCCTAATTTTACAAGATGACATTATTGGATTTTTATATTATCCTTATTTATTATGTTATCCTATCTGCGTAAGACATTTCAATCCTCATATTTGAGAAATGCATATGCACTTTTTACCCAATTTTGAAATAAGAAAAACGCGAGAACAGTGAGTGAACGTGTGATTACTGCTTAGCGCCGCATTAACTGTCAGCGGCAATTGTACAGGACTACACGTTATTCATAATCCACCCCGAATCCATATTTAAGCAGAGGGAATTTCTTCTTTGATAGGCATTTAAAAGTTGGAGTACCTATCAAGGATAAGAATTTATGGATGAAACAACTTCTTTATTACGATTAGGAGCGGCGTTTCGGTGTAGGTTCTAACACCGTTATCAAGTAAGTGATATACAGAGTGTGACAATATCTACTCTACTGTATAAACGTTGCCTCCTACTTGTATATATACTTGTCAACCACACTCTGTATATCACTTGCTTCATAAGACGTTGTTCATCCATAAATGCTTATCCTTACTTACAGAGGGAATTTGTTTTCAATATAGCAGCAGTACTATCGGTTACAGTTGATCAAAACACCACTTACCCCAGACACAGTGTCCTCATCATCTTCCTGTAATGAAGATATCATGTATCATGGAATGTGGGGAAAATAATGTCTTAATGATGTGATCGCTTGCTGTATCTTCCCTTCTTGACGAAAGCCACGTCTTGTGATATCGAAACTACAATCTACAATGTCACGTAAGAAGAAAATACCATCATTTTCATGTCATCTAAACTCCCGTACTGTATATTCCACCAAGGTGGTTGCATGAGAACAATGTGCTCATCATAATACAGATATACAACTCTAAACTCTGGGTGTATACACACCATTGAGTCATTGAAACTATAACAGCAGATGACAAAAATATTGCGACAGTCACAGACAATAAATCTTTTGTTAATAATGCAACTTCAAATATATTGAACTGTTTGTTAAGAGTGGACACCCCCCGCCCCCACCCCCCATAAACCAATGCATGTGTTCATGTTTTGGAATATTATAATTATGTGCAACGTTAGTGATCAGCTGATGAAAGAAGATACTTGATAGCCCCAAAAGCATTGTTTTGGTTTTATACTCACATACAGGTGTACCGGAAATGTTTTTGTGGCACCCTGAAAAGGAAATAGAGGGAATTACTAATTCACAAAGAATGAATAATTTCTAATATTCTCGTCTAGTCATTCTCTACCAAAGATATAACGGCTTGGGGACAACAACCTAACGCACCAGCACACCCAAATCATTGCACATACACTATGCAGTTCATTCGTGTGGGTGACAACGAGGTCATGGTCAGCAAAATCGGGCTGAGCCGTTGGTATTGTTGATTTTCATTATTTATAGTAACACGTAACGTCTCCACTTTGCGTGAATTCAGTATTTGTGTTCGGAGTGGGACTGGGTCGTCTCCACGTGATGAACGCTTCAGCACTACTGGCATGCCCTAAACAGGTAGAACTCCGCGGGAGGTGGCCATCATGTTCAGTGTGTCTCAGTCCGTGATTTGCAGAAACAAAAGTTACTGTGAAAGGTCAGGAACACAAGTCCAAGGTACTATCCAGATGATTAGAAACTGGCTGCATGCTCAGCGACCACGTGTAAATAATAGACACGGTATTTAGAGCGTAGAAGCTGGTCGAATAGCCGATGGTCTTGTGTAATGTTTTCAGAAGAGTCCAGATTCATTCCCGACTTTCAGGATAGGTATGCACGTGTCTGGAGGCGTCCTAACGAACGTCATGCGGACGTCAACGCAAGGTAACATTGGGGGCGGGTCTGTAATGATATGGGGCAGGATCTTAACGTCAGTGCATGTTGTTCATGGAAGGGTCAATGGACAGTACTAACGAGACATCATAATGGCGTAAATAGTCGTTTGCGCGCCATGCTGGTTTCAAGACGATAACTACTTGTGCACATGTATCTTAACTGTTTACCTCCAGCAGCAAACCATCACCAGAATGCAATGGTCAGCAATGAGTCCTGACCTTTCCACCATAGTGCGGCCCGTGAAGATCCGGGGTAGAATAGGTCTTCAGCAACCTATGCTTGCCGTAAGAGGCGACTCTGCTTGCCGTAAGAGTTGACTCTGCTTGTCGTAAAAGGCGACTAACGGGATCGGGTGGTCAGGCTCGCTGACTTGGTTGATGCATGTCATCGATCCCAATTGCGTTGATCGATGCTCATGATATTAATCACTGAATTGTCTGGTCCAAACTCGATGATTTACAGACCGCCGTCATATAGCTGGAATATTGCTGAGTGCGGCGTAAAACAACAAACAACAAGTGCACGCTAGGATATCATCTGGAGAAGTGTACGCCGACGTCAAAGGGAACCTGCTACGTTAGTCAAACTAAGCCAGGTACTGCAAAGTGGACAAGACTCGCTCAAATTGTCATTGGAAGATTGATTCGAACCACGCCACGGAATATATACGATTCTTTGACCAATCGTGGGGACATGACCCATTACTGATAAAGTCATCCCAAACATTTATTTTTTAACTATACTACCCTGTCGTCTTTCTTGGTTATTTACCCCTTTGTATTTCTGTAATTCTGTTACTTTCGAATACTCCCTACTTTCGTTTGTATATTTCAGGTACACTTTGACCAATTATTTTTAATTTATGACTTGAATAAGTACCGCACTAGCGTTTCCCTCACGTGTCGTTGAATGATATTGATCCGTTAAATGTAGATATCTCGCCCCCAGTTAACCGCTCACTTAGATTTATATCGACTGATACACTGAGTGGATAACAGTGGAGAAATATTAATACTTAATCTCTTAGTTCATTCAGTATTTTAATTGTTGTGACAGTAACTGTGATTGTTTCGGTGATTTGTTTTCACAGCTGCATGGGTTTCCCAGCAAGCCCAAAAATATAATTCAGGAGGATAAGGGGGTGAGGGTTGGGGCGTTTTAGTTTGTTCCTGGACTGTGTTCACTGTGAGCGATTTGTACGGCGTCTGATTGTATGTGTGATATATCATTTGATAGTTTATGAAGTGTATTCCACATATGTTGGGCTTATTTTTTCTTTCTTGAACTATACATAGCCAATGTAGCAAAATAGTAGCAGCAACAAATCTGTAGTCTGATTTGGGGGTTTACTCCCGCTATGCACGAACGTCTTGGTATCTTAATCACGCCCCTGTTGTCACAGACATTTGATCATTTAGACGCTTTAATCTTGAACTCAGCGTTTAAGCATCCATTCAGAAAGATCAGAGAGTTTGACTGCATGATCGTTCACGAATATCTTCGATACGCCCCATCCTAGTGAACAAAACGTGGAATTGCACATCGTCTATCGCAGTATCGACTCCATCTTTGTCTAGACTGACAGTTACAGCCTACAGCAATCGATGTGATAGAGTTGATAGTTATCTCAATAATGACTCGGACAGAGATTCAAACTGCATGGTGGCAAGTTAAGTTTAGTCTATTAACATAATTCGATAACCATACCACACCATTCAACCAATATTGTATGAACTGTGGAGCTTTGTAAAGTCAGTTATGATTGAAAAAATCAATTTGAAATATTGCAAGCATATACTTAGAGTTAAACAATCTACTCCAAGCTTCATTATTACAATCTACGAATCCACTGAACATATCTATGTCTGTATATGTGTACAGATGTATTTATATCCTCTCTGTATTACATGTTGTGATTTATGAGGATACACTTGAACTTGACCTGACCGACAATAATACGCAGAATGTACCCGGAAGGTTTACATGGGTTGTCATGACTACGTCCAATCAAGCGCGAGCAGGAATATCTATGGCCAGATGTTGGCAACACTTCAACAAATGTTAACTACTAAGAAATGAAAAGTCTATATTGTTCAGATATCCTGTTTCGGTCTATAGCCTGACTGTGTTGGTTAGCCGCTGTACACAGTTTTAAGCTTTCAGTTAGACATATTCCAGGTGTTATATTACGTGATTAAAATTTGCAAACAAATCACTTATGCAGTGAGCGTCAAGAAGGCGTACAGGTCAATGTCAACATGCCACATCCGATTTTGTCCGTGTTACGGATTATCTCCCCTGCACACCGACGCAGAACTAGATAGCCCTCTCACAGACTGGTCCCTGGGATGACCAAGAGAGGTGTTCGGAGTATAAAAGGTAAACTACCAGCACAGAAGTTACCGATCACGCCTGTTCTTCTTCTGAAAATACGTAAACAAATTAGACATGACCACACCGTGCAACATAGTTTCCTGGGCAGCTTTTTTAAGAAAATCGACTCTGTTACCTTCCAGAGTGAAAAATTAAAGCCCCGACAAGCAGTTGTGTGTTCTGACGTTACATGCATAGTGATAAAGTGCTTCTAAAAGTTAGACATAGCAAAACTGTTCACGTTGGTGAATAGATTCTGCAAGTCCCATTGTGTGACATGGCCTGGTCACCCTCGGGAACAGCTTCACAATCTGCCGCACCGCGATACCCATGGCGTACCATATGTTCTCATTCTTTGACAAAGGTTGGGTGAAGTGTGAACCAACTCCCATCACCCCACCCCACCCAACCCCACCCCACCCCACCCCACCCCTCCGCCCGGTACGTTTATCAAGTCGTTGCGCCGTGTGTTAGAGGCGTGTGGGTTGTCACCTTTAGATTACAGAGGATATTCATTTAGGAGGAGCGGAGGGATCTTTTGCATTTAGATATCGGCGTGCCACAAGTGTTGATAACATTACACAGGGACTAGAAGTAAAAAGCCCTTGAGCGCCACATACATGTAGCGCTGTATGTCACAAACATAGATAAGGAAAAGAACACGAAAAATCAAGTCACGCCTGGAGCATTACAACCGTATTGTATAAACTTGGGCAGTGCATAAGGAGTGAGTGAGTTGGGTTTAAAACCGCTTTTAACCGTATTACAGTTATATCGCGGCGTGTCAGCTTAATGTGGGAGGAAAGCCCGAAGTGTACAGGTTTCGGACATTTACCATTTCGGCGAAATCCACATGCACGGGTATGGTGCTGACAAACCTAGAAACATAATCGGGGCGAACCGGGATTCGAACCCACAATCATAGGTTTCTGGCGTGGCCAAGGGACGCAACTAACAGCGAATCGCGCCCCCTCAGTAAATAAGGAAGAGAATTTATGGATGTCACAATAATTCTAGTTTCATCATAAAATAATATTTGTACTGATATACCGTTTTCCTTTTTCGAAGAAGTTTTCATGACCCTAACTGTTGTTTGAACTTTCCGGGCGAAACGAACCATGGATACGGAGTTAGTCCTTGTATTTTTGTGAAGTTTCATAACAGCAATTTTCCGGAACCTGGAGTTTCCAGTCATGGCTAACTGGGTTTCATTACACAGCAATGTTTCACAAAGAACCTTGGAACATTTCTAATTAAGACAGAAATGATTACTTACGCTTCCCATCTTCCCGTGTTGAGCTTGTTCGGGTGACGTTTGCAGTGTACTCTCGAGTATGGCTTATTGCGTCGATTCTGGGTAGCACTGATTCTATAAATAATTTTTCCACGAAAGGTTTATTGATGTCAGTTGAGTACAGTGACCCAGCCGCTCACCACACCTACCTGATCCGACGTGAACATGGGCAACACGGTAAGTAGATTCTGTAATGTTGTCTGTTGTTTCACGACGCGAACACCTAGTATCATCCCCATTTGAAAGTGTTTCATAAACACACGCTTATAATACAGTCAGAATCGTACAGTCGACTTTCTTTTGACCGTGAAAGGGGTTTGCGGTGTTCTTTAATATGTTCCTGAAGTAGGTATATTCATGCTCATTTCGACATGTTTATTTCGAGGTAGGTTCATTCATTCAAGTTGTGAAAGGCATAATATATTGTTGATTACCCAATGCCATCTGAATGGGAACGCTATAGGTTCGTCCCGACATTACAATTGTGATGGTAGGTTGGGCAAATGAACATTCTGCCATAAATTGGTGACTGGTCGCCATTCTGATAACCATGACTGTAGTGTATGTTGCAATCGGAGAGGTGAGCAAACGTTTGTAATGTCGCGTACACCATTTCAAGCATCACCGCGGAGCTAATATTTATAGGATTTAGGGCTGAGACGAGTCCAAATGTACTACCCGGGTACCCACCCTTCTATTACCCTACCCTACCCAGGTATCCGCTGTAGGTTTCAAGAGAGAGGTACAACATGTCTGATTGGGAAACGTTTGACCGTACTGCTGTCAAAATAAATTTAGATACGCGTATAATCCGATCTGGTCATGCATACACTGAAGTTGACTGAAGTCATATCATTATGCAAACATATAAAGTCAGAAGGAATGTGTGTACAGTCAGAAAGAAATTTGTCACTTATAGTGTAACCTTAGAGTTTTAAATACCTTTTGCCATTAAACAATATAATCACGGGTCCGGGTAGTCCCGTGGGTACCTGGGTCCTACTCAGAACCCACCCGACCCGATCACCCTATTTACACGTCCCAGCCCTAATAGGAATGTTCTTCTTTCCTGGGCCCCGTTCCATGAAGCGATCTAGGGGCTACGACTGTCGTAAGTCAATGCTAAGGTATAGCTGCTAAGATCCTCTTATCGCTACGACTGTCGTAAGTCAATGCTAAGGTATAGCTGCTAAGATCCTCTTATCGCTACGACTGTCGTAAGTCAATGCTAAGGTATAGCTGCTAAGATCCTCTTATCGCTACGACTGTCGTCGGTCAATACTAAAGTATAGTAGTTAAGATTGTCTTATCGCTACGACTGTCGTAGGTCAATGCTAAAGTGTAGGAGTTAAGATCGTCTTATCGCTACGACTGTCGTAAGTCAATGCTAAAGTGTAGGAGTTAAGATCGTCTTATCGCAACGACTGTCGTAAGTCAATGCTAAAGTGTAGGAGTTAAGATCGTCTTATCGCTACGACTGTCGTAAGTCAGTGCTAAAGTGTAGGAGTTAAGATCGTCTTATCGCTACGACTGTCGTAAGTCAATGCTAAAGTGTAGGAGTTAAGATCGTCTTATCGCTACGACTGTCGTAAGTCAATACTAAAGTATAGGAGTTAATAAGATCGTATTATCGTTATGACTATCGTTGGTCAATGCTAAAGTATAGGAGTTAAGATTGTCTTATCGCGACGACTGTCGTAAGTCCAGCTAAAGTGTAGGAGTTAATAAGATCGTATTATCGCTACGACTATCGTCGGTCAATACTAAACTATAAGAGTATCGCTACGACTGTCGTAAGTCAGCGCTAAGACTGTTTTGTGGAACGGGGCCCTGGCAGATTTTAATGAGGATGTAACTGTTAATGGGTCAGAAAATGATGAATGCAATATTAACAAAACTTTAATCTTGGGGAAGTAAAGACAATGCAAATCAGTTAGACAGTATATTCAGTAGCTTGACTCAATTTAAACCGCACCTTACACGCAGAAAGGGAATGAGTTTGGCCTAACGCCAAGGTTGCAGCTGAACACTCTCACGTGAGTCGTCGCCCAAAGTGAGTGCGTGAGTGCGTGAGTGCGTGGTTGAGTGCGTGCATGAGTGCGTGCGTTCGTGCGATTTAACGCCGCTGTAGACAGTATTTGAGTACCCGATTCCGTTAGTCGCCTTTTAAGACAAGCACAGTCGCCTTTTACGACAGGTATGGGTTGCTGAAGACCTATTCTACCCTTGACCTTCACGGGTCAGATATTTTTTGTATGTATGTATAATATGCTACCCGATTCGCAAAACATAGAACACATTTCATTGAAATAGCGCTGTGTACAATAGCTTTCGTAAGACACCTCTCCGAGGTGGCCAACGCGGAGGAGATAGGTTTACATTTGTTTGTGGCCTTGTCATTGGCAACGACCCAAATAAGTGGACTAAGTGACATAAACGTTCATGCATAGGATGTTTGTCTCAAAACTTATCTTTGTTCTAATACTTGGTATTAGCATTTATAGTTCATGATCCCCCACTTATTTTAAAGAGTATATTTGAACCCGGTGGCGATGTATTTCTGCATCCACCTCAACAACAAATCATGTCATAGATAAACAATGCTGTTTACTTTCACCCTTATTTCAGGTTGAATATCAAAAGAAATCGTCAGCGCATGCTCCAACTGTTTTGGTGAGTACTTCTGTCCTGTCATAATGTACTCTTAAAAAAACCACGTGCAAGCTCCGACGTTCATACAGAGAATGAACTCAGACAAAGTGAAGGTCAATTCCTAAATAAATAATAACATTTTATATAAACCTGAGAAAGGTGAATCATGTAGGATAAGGACAAGACAAGTATTTCTGGACTACTATTTGCGTTCAAAATGAAGCCATATTTTTTAAAAAGTGTCCATTCTGTTGATACTTGCCATGTATTACAGTAGTTTTGTCGGTCATGTTATAGGCTTCTGATGTTGTGTTGTTATCTTTTAAATGGGTGAAATGATTAATTATATTTTTCCAAACCACTATATTCTTATACAAACATATTGAGCTCTTCATTCCTTTCTTGACTTTCTGTTTAATTAACAATTTTGAAATGAAAAGTCCGGAGTGGTACAGGTTGCCAAATCGCCCAGACCCGTGAAGATTCCGGGGTAGAATAGATCTTCAGCAACCCATAATTGCTGTAAAAGCCGACTATGCTTGTCGTAAATGGCGACTAACGGGATCGGGTGGTCAGGCTCGCTGACTTGGTTGATGCATGTCATCGATCCCAATTGCGTGGATCGATGCTCAAGATATTAATCACTGGATTGTCTGGTCCAAACTCGATGATTTACCGACCGCCGTCATACACGAACCCCTGGATCCTTTCACGTGGTCCACGCAGTCTCCAATTACCCGCCCTTGATTTCCTTTCGCCAGTTTGATTGGCTACGCTATCAAGTTTAACGGACCAATCAGAATGCGAATTACAAACCAGCCTCGATGTTGGGTTGATGACATCAACAACATGGCGGCCAGTCCCATTGATTATGATACTAACTAACACGCAAAAGAAAGCTCCCCTAAAAAACCAACACAGCAAGTTGATCGTAAGAGGCGACCGAATAGATCGGGTGGTCAGGCTCCGTGACTTGTTGAGTGCCTGTCATCGTACCCCGATGTCGTGGATCGTTGTTCACAGTATTGATCACTGGTTCAGACGTGGTTATTTACATGCCGTCGTCATATAGCTGGAATAGTGCTGATTGCGGCGTAAAGTAAACACAAAAACAAGCAAAACATATTTTGTTTTACCTTTGTTTCCTTCTTACATATCTGAATGAAAGTGGGGGCCACGGGTGGCCCAGTCGTCGCGATTCGCTGTGCAGAGTTGCGGCCCTTTGGCACGCCTGAAACCTATGATTGTGGGTTCGAATCCCGGTTCGCCCCGATTATGTTTCTAGTTTTCAGCACCATACCCGTGCTCGTTGGTTTCATCGAGCTGGTAAACGTCTGAGACCTGCATCACTTCGAGCTTTCCTGCCACATTAAGCTGACACGCCGCGATATAACTGGAATACTGTCAAAAGCGGCGTTCAACCCAACCCACTAACTCACTCTGAATGAAAGTTGATATACAGTGGAGTCCGCCTAAATAATTGTCAGGATGACCTGCATCCGACGTGATAATATATCCAGGGTTGGAAGGCCTGTGTATTGAGTCAGTATACTTTATTCTTGTGCAGCTCATTGCTGGTGTCGTCTCGCCGTCACATGGCTGAAATAGTACAATGCAAATTTCAACCTCACTCTATTACTCATGTCGCAACCCATGCTTGTCCAAAAAGACGACTATGCTTGTCCTAAGAGGCGACTGACGTGATCGGGTGGTCCGGCTGGCTGACCTGGTTGATGCAGGTCATCGTATCCCGAATGATCGATGCTCATGATGTCCATCACTAGATTATCTGGTCCAGACTCGATTGTTTACAGACCGCCGTCATACAGCTGGAATATTGCTGAGGGCGGCGTTAAACAAGAAACAAACAAAACAAACAAACACTCATGTCGATGTCGCTCATGCAGGTTGAAGTTAATGAAAGTCATTTGTTGATGCGTATTTCCTGTTTCAGCTTCAAGTGCAGGAAGTCAACAAGAGGACGCTGGGGAAGCTGATCATCAAGACTGTCGGCCACGAAGGTACAGAGACAGACGAGGAGGGGACGTATCTACGGCGACAGATCCAAGTCTGCATCTCTTACCTGGAACATTACAAGCCTACAGTGTGGCGGGATGCTACAGTGACGTTCATTGGCTTACGGGGTCATGAATATGTGGTATCCTCTGGCCGCGGACGCTACAGATTCATGGTCCACCTTGATGCTCGAGACGAAATAACCTTTTCAAAAATGAAATAATAAAATGCTATAATGAGACTACCACTAGATCATGACTGCACCGTGACATGAGGCACATGTGTATGCCAGTCTCCTCTCTAAACGTGTGTGGCGGTCGGGTAGTCTAGTGGTTAAAGCGTTCGCTCGTCACGCCGAAGACCCGGTTCGATTCCCGACATGGGTACAATGTGTGAAGCCAAATTTTGGTGTTCCCCGCCGTGATATTGCTGGAATATTGCTGAAAGCGGCTCAAAACCATACTCACTCACTCTAAACGTGCACGTAATGCAAATGCAAAGTTAAACAGTTATTCTCCAATCCACTTTTCCTTTAATCCACTGCATAACAACAGGAACAACACGACAGTATGTGTTTATCTCAGTATTTTTACAGCACTCATCTTCTAGGGCTTCTCTGTTTAAATGCATGTGCATGATATACAAATCTGCTTGTATTTTGATCTGTGTGTTGTGCTAAGAAAGGTCCTAAATATTGATAATAATTTACATTCTGCTGTACCTTTGAGATAACTGTCATATAATAAAGTACGTTTGATCACTAGTATTAATAACGTTGATTATTCCACGATATTGGCGACAGCCTCGCTACCTGCTTCAGGTTTGTTTGTTGTTTAATGCCGCCCTCAGCAAAATTCCAGCTACATGACAGCGGCCTGTCTGGACCAGACAATCCAGTGACAGACGGGATCGATGACATGCATCAACCAAGTCAGCGAGCCTGACCACCCGTTCCCGTTAGACTTACGACAAGCTTAGAACTATTCTAACCCGGATCTTCACGGGTCACCTTCTCCAGGTGATAACCGCCGCTTGATATGTAACGTAAAGATGATTTGCAAGGAATACATGTCGAATGAAAGCTTTTTCAGACGAATAGAACGTAGCTTACTGCCCTCATGCTTTTAATGGCTTTTCCACAAAACCAACTGACCCACCATGGACACGATCGACCTTTTTCTCTGAAAATAGACTTTTGGTGACTCGTAGTCTTTGTAAGCCATGATTATATTTGACCCGTCGACCTCGCTATCACATGACCCTCACATGATGTTAACATTCTAGCTCGAAGACGTCAACCATTGATGCCTTCTCAGACGGAAAGGCTGCAGAAAACTGGTAGCAGTCTTTGATTATTCAAGACGACAGATCACATCTAATGTGACGAAAGCTACCGTTGGCACAAATCACTCCATTGCAGGTGCCCTCTTGTTGACAGTCACCATGTTGGAACTATTTTCCAAATGTTTGGTCGCCTTTAACGACCAGACTAGGTTGTTTGATCATGCTAGGAACCTCATCCACTATATCTCCAGGGCACGCATTTCGGTAAACCTACACTAATCCCTGAATACACCCGTGAGGTTTTCGCGATGTTACGTTTCCTGCCTTTGTTGTTACGCTGACTGGCGCTCGGCATTCAGGAGCAAGGACAGGTCGGGTTGAGTCAGTATACTGTGTTTGAGTGGGGTATTCGTGTTAAACTGTGGCATGGTATGAGCTAACACTATGAACTCGGCATTAGTCTGGACTAGTACAAACACCCACCCACACACGCACACACGCACACACGCACTCACGTGCAGCCACGCACCAACAGGTTCTTCATAGTATGAGCAAAGTCCCATGCCGTCAGAGGAAGTTGCCTTTATTAGAAATAAGAGTATTGGAATAAATGATAATATTCATACGGCTAAAGACGTTACATTTCCCTTATTAAGATTGACTTTATACAAATTTTCACGAAACTATGAACTATGCTCTGACTATTTAAAACAGTTTTCGATTTCTTTTGATATTCAACCTGAAATAAGAGTAAATGTAAACTGCATTGTTTATCTATGACATGATTTGTTATTGAGATGGATGCAGAAATACATCGCCACCGGATTCAAATATACTCAAATACAAAGAAACAAGCGTTGAAACAAACGTCCTATGCATGAACGTTTATGTCACACGTTCCACTGTGTTTTTGTCTTCTTATATTTGGGTCGTTGCCAGTGACAAGGCCACAAGCATATGTAAACCATTGTACACTGCACTTCTTCAGTGGAATTTGTTCTTTCTTTCGTGAATATCTTTTATCGGGTAGCATAACCCTATCCATGAGGTCGTATAATTCGTAAGATTTATACATACATACATACAGAATCGAACCTGTGTTCTATGCGAATCGGGTATCATATTATACATACATACAAAAAATATCTGACCCGTGAAGGTCTGGGGTAGAATATGTCTTCAGCAACCCATGCTTGCCGTAAAAGGCGACTATGCTTGTCGGAAGAGGCGACTGTGCTTGTCGTACTAGGCGACTAAGGGGATCGGGTGGACAGGCTCGCTGACTTGGTTGATGGATGTCATCGTATCCTAATTGCGTAGATCGATGCTCATGATGACAATCACTGGATTGTCTGGTCCAGACAAGATTATTTACAGACTTGGGGTTGGGTGGGGATGGGGTGGGTGATGGTAGCTTAGTGGTTAAAGCGTTCGCTCGTCACGCCGAAGACCCGGGTTCGATTCACGACATGGGTACAATGTGTGAAGCCCATTTCTGGTGTCCCCCGCCTCCGCCCGATGAGTGCGGCGTTAAGCAACAAACAAACAAACTTACTAAATACTAATTTCCGTTTGACTTCAAATGAGAACGATGAATTGCAAAATAACTCGAAATCCAGAAAAGTGTATGAAACATCAATACGGTACTTGAACATGAATACCCTGTACCCAACAAAATCGGAATTTTGTTTATTTTAAGACCCATGACGGATGAAGTTCTTTAAGAAACTGTCATGTAATTTTGTATAGAAATGTGTACATGACACGTAGGGGGACAAACCGTGGAAGGAACAGCACAAGCACGGTCTACACGTGCTACACAGTGACCGTGTTCATTCAATGACAAGATGCGCTACTCAGCAGATGTTAAACAGTTGATGTTGAATGTGTATGATTTCTTAAGAAGTGAAGCAGAAAGAGCAAAGCCTTTTTATGCAATTAATAAATTCTTGAAACGAGCTTCAAAAGCTCTTGGTATGTCCCCTCAGAAACTTAAAAATGTTGTTAGTCGACGAGATACAAAAAGTCAGGCCAAGGAGGTAGGGAACATGTCAAAACAACGCAAGGTTGATAAATTAGACAGTTTTCAGAGGGATCAAGTCAGACGTGCAATTGTTAAACTGCACTCAGAAAATAAGTACCTGTCCCTAAGAAGTTTGAAGAAACACCTTGAAACTGACCATGATTTACTTGTTACAAAGTACAAACTATGGCAGCTGTTGCATACATTGGGTTACAAATACAAAAAGATAACTGGAGAAAACAGGGCTGTGTTGTGTGAACGGTCTGACATTGTTCGTCTCCGAAATCATTACCTTCGTACCATCAAGCAGAAACGTGAAGAAGGTTATGAGACCATCTTCTTAGATGAGACATGGATAAATGCGTCACACACAGCCAGCAGTCAGTGGGTACCCAGTGGTGACTGTAAGGAGTCTGGTAGACAGTTACCAATGGGAAAGGGTGAAAGACTCATAGTTCTCCATGCTGGTTCTGCTAGTCAGGGTTTTCTCCCAGACTGTGACCTCGTCTTTAGAGCCAAGGCCAAAGACAACAGGGACTACAACACAAAAATGAACGGCAATGTATTTCTGGAGTTGGTGAAAGATAAATTAGTCCCTGCTTTGCCTACCAAGTCTCTCACTGACATGGACAATGCACCGTATCACAGTGTGCAGGATCCAGAAGCAAGACTCCGACCTCTAATAACCGTAAAGGAGACATGGTTACTTGGCTGCAACGGAGGAACATTACATTTCCTTCTCGAGCGACGAAACCACAGCTCTATGAAATCATCAAAACTATGAAACCTGACCCCGTGTATAAAGTTGACAGTTACATCAAGGGTCAGGGTCACGCTGTCTTACAACTGCCACCTTATCACTGCGACCTAAATCCAATCGAGTTGGTGTAGGGCATCGTCAAGGGTGACGTTGGACGATCGAACACAACGTTCAAAGTACGATCATGCAGTCACGCTCCCTGACCTTTCTCAATGTGTACTGAAACGCAGAGATCAAGAATATAGCTTCTAAATGATCAGAAAGAACGCTTATGTATGTTTTCGCGCTAGGGAATTCCCAGGGGTTTCCAAAGGAATGTGGAAGTAGTCCGTCAGTGTTTACGTCATTTCAAGAACACGGTCTCGTGAAAAACGTATGAACGTCAATTTGTGTCGTTCATACACTTATGAACGTCAATTTCGCGGTCATGTGACCGACCTCTCGTCCAATGGAAAAGCCCTATATCGTGTTAACTTCAAATCCTTTTTTTTATGATATTGTATGTGCTCACAAAGTCTCATCAAGATTTATCAAATGGCTTATGAGATATCGTCCGCAAAATGAAAAACCCTCATTTATACCTACGTCCAACTTGTTATTGCCTTGTAAACGCGAACACTAAACCTTTTGAAACTTCCTGATGAACAAGTGCACCATTTCAGCACTTACCTAGTATTGGGAATTGAAACAGTTTTTGTTTTTCAAGGCTGTTTTACCAAGTTTGAATTTACCGGGTTTAGGTTTGTGCCAGACTTTTCACCAAGTTTCAGTTTCTTGGTTTTGGTTTGTGCCGTTTCGGATGTTTGTCACTATTTTGGAAACCACGTTTTGTTTGGGAGTTGATAGCTGCGGTTATCGACAAACTCTGACTTTTGTGGGGATTTGAGGCACCAAAATTTTGTGAGTATGAACGGAGAATGATTTGTTTGTATCCACTACATATTATTCTTCAGTTTACATGTTGTAAAACGGTAAAAAAAAAAAAAAATTATCGGCGAAAGATTTCGATCGTTGTAACTGCTTAAAATCCGGAAAATCACACAATAATATCTATATTATGTAAACAATGCTATTTTCACATTCATGTATTATTTCTTTTGTAGATTAATTTAATTTGGTTTGAATTTTATACTTATTAGGCTTTGTTTATTTTATTACAGCTTGTACCAATCAATGTAGCACTCTCAGTCATTCAGTCAAAGTCAACTTTGTAAACCAGTGAACATTATGACAGTCGGTCTGTCAGTCAAGTTTGTACAATCAGTCAGTCAACCACAATATGTTGTCAATGTTGAATTGGTCAGCCAAACTGTTTGAATGATGATTTGGAGTAATGATAAAATTGTGCCATTTGTCCTTCTGTCTGCGGTCAGTTGGAATTGTGACATGGTTCGAAAAATGTGTTTAACAGCTGCGGTTGTTGAATAAATGACTGCGTACAGAGATATTGCCTTAAATTTCATTCCCTACAACACCTAGTGTGTCTACACTGGCCACAAAGAAATTAGAAACACTTTATGAGTCATGCTCATGATATTTCAGCCTAAGTCCCACAAGTTGCCATGGAAAAGCAAACACTAAAACTTTTAGAAACTCTTGAATGAGAAAAGGAACCAGTCTAGTGCCTGCAGGATCTGAATACAAAGTTTCATAAAGCAATATGCAGCACTCTCTGAGTTATCCTCTCGAAACGAAATCC